AACTGTTTCTGCAGTCACATGTCCAAAGCAAAAAACAATAAAGTCAATGAAGAAGTAGATTGTAAAAAATTGGGTCAGCAAGACATAACAAAAGCATTAATTTTGTTGTATTGGTATGTCAGTGACTGGTCTGGCTAAAAAATCTTTGTGAGATAACTTACTACAAATTTAATGTAGACTTGTGCTCCAGTTTTAAGGATTTGATTTAAATCTTCAAGTTGACAAATTTTAATTAATGGTCAAATAGTCTATGCTCCTTAGCATATTTTTTGTTATTTCATTAGATTGCATTTTGTATTCATGTTTTTCCTTGCTACCAAGCACACTATAAATTGTTCAAATGTGTGTTTGGAGTTCACATACAGTACTTACATATGCATTTTCATTTGATTGCCAAAACAAATTTAGATACACATATAAAGACTATTGCTTTGTTTCAGCTTTCCCTCCTAGCCTAAGATTGTGAGGTAAAGTTTCTCTTTGACCTTCTGACTTAGGACATTTTTGCTTTAATTTTCAACTGAAGCACACTTGTTAAACTTTGTGGGGGAAAAATATCTCACCTTAACCTTGAGTAGGAAGGTGTTTTGTAGCTATTGAGTTCATTGCTAATGATGGGTGACCAGAGGGGGATCCTTTATTGAGACAGTCTCTCCATTAGGAATTACTAGCACAACACTTATATAGCGACTTCAGTGAACAAGTAGTAATTCTATTAAATTTCTCTGTAAGTTTATCTCTCAAATAAAAATGTATATAGTCATCTCAGTAAAGCATTGCATATTCCAAGAGAGTTTATAAATTTTTTTTTTTTTTTTTTTTTGAGCCGAATCTCACTCTGTCCCCAGGCTGGAGTGCTAAATTTTTTTGTATTTTTAGTAGAGACGGAGTTTCACCATGTTGGCCAGGATGGTCTCGATTTCTTGACGTCGTGAACTGCCCTCCTCGGCCTCCCAAAGTGCTGGGATTACGGGTGCGAGCCACCACGCTCAGCAATAAATGCTTTACTATTCATAGTTTATAATCAAAACCGACACTTCCACCCTATATCTCAGATCTTTAGTTTTGGCTTAGTTCTATTTTAAGCTATCTTCAGACTGATTCAGTTTTTGACAATGTTTAAAGCACTGTTTGGAAGACGTCTGAGCACAAGACCTGATGGAGAAACTGATGATGGTAGATATGTTCTGCAGAACAGGTAGGTGTTCTCTGAGGGGTCCCTGCCAGCTCGCTGAGCCAGCTTTAGACCCTGCTCCGTTCCTTCACCTTTGCTTCTTTCCACCGTTAGTCTTCATCTCTTTCCAACTTGTCTCCACGTTTTAATCTTCCAGGAAAATGCCTTGTTCATTTCAATAAGTAAAAGGTTTTTTAGAGCTTTACGTGAAATGTTAAAAGCTGTAAACATCGCCTCCAAATTTTTATGTAAAAAATAAATGACTTTTATGTAAAAGTCATTGGGCCAATTTTAAATAGTTACTTGTAGGCGATTATATTCTCTTTAAACACATTTTTTCAGGGTCTCTTATTAAAGTTCTTAAAAAAAAAAAAAACCTGGAAACACCCTGACTACTGTGGTGCTAAGGGCCTGTAATGAGCAATTGTCTTCCCTTTAAAGATCAAACGGAGTAATGTATGTTAATGTACAAAGGCGTCTGCAAACTGGCTTTAGATTGCCATTTAGCGTTACAAAGACAAATTGGGTGTAATGAGCGATAGGTTAATTTTCGTAGGATGACGGGGGAGTCCAGGAACTGGCCGGGTGAGGATGGGGGCCCAGCACTCCGTTACCGGACGCTTTGAGGCGGGGTGCGCCTGGACCGAATTGAAGGGCCCGGGGCGCGGCGACCTCGCAGCCGGGGGCGAGTTGGTGGCTGCACCCGGGACCCGCAGGCTGCTCAGAGCTCAGGTACTAGGTGCTTGGCTCAGTTTTCTCCCAGCAGGGTCGGGAAGCGCCAGACCCTTGGTGCACGTGGGGCACGCACCCGGCGTCTGAGTCTCCCTGGCGTCTCCCTCGCCGCCGGACCCAGCCCGCAGACCTCCCGGCTGCCCCTCCCGCGAGCCGGCCGCACGCACAGGCTTGGCGCGGAAAGCTCGTTCCTCCACCCCTGGGCGCACCCTCCTCATGGTCCTCACAATGCTTAGAAATCTAAAACCTAGACATTGCCCGAAGAGTCAACTTAGAGTCCCTTATTCCTAGACTGCGGAGCGGCTCTCTGACTCTGTGCTGCTGACTGACGCCTCCTGCCCACCCTGAAAGGGTCCTGGAGCTGCGATCCCGCCAGACTGTACTCCTGGTGATCGACTGCTCTACTATTTCCACATCAGGAAGAAGGTCAACAAACGAATGAACTAGCAAACGGCCCTTTCTCGATGGATTTCTCCTCCACTCACTAAAGCACTCCTGTGGTGTTTCTCCATGCCGTATTTATGTAATAAGGGCCAAAAGAGAACAGGTGTTAACTGATGTGTGTGAAATAGGAATACAGCTGTTCACTACTGCAAAATAGTTTGCACAACTTAAATTTAGGCAATGTTCCTCAACTTTTTTTTAAGAAGTCACCTGAACAATTAATTACTGAAGGTTACATGGAATTTTAAAAAACGAAAGGCATTTCATTCAATTGCAGGTAAACATTCTAAAGCGAAAACAAAACCCATCTCTCCCAGAAACTTTCATTACCTCTAAACTTAAAAGCAATCTTGAAATCACAAAGTTATCTCCATGCTTACTGGAGAGTGCGAATTCCTGATGGGATGTGAATGCAGTTCACTAGTCTAGGCATCTTCTTTGAAACTTCCCCAGATGTTCACCAATATTTTATAAAATGTATCATCGTTCTCTCACTGGGTTGCAGGATAACAAGTAATAGTGTTTCAAAAGACTGTACTCAATTAACATTCAGAGTTTCATTAACACCTTAGTGTTATGGTAAGCAGTCAGAAAGTATTATCCATGCTTTGAACTGTGTCTGAAATTTGTGTTGCCACCACATAATGCATTATTTTCTCTTTGGCACAAATTCACATCTAAAAATCCAATTGATAGGTCTTTATATAATTATGGCTCACAAATTTGTTCTTTTTTGTCTTTAAAAATCAATAGTATTCAATGCACTTAACAAAGCAAGTGTATGGAAGGAGCCTGCATTTAGTGAACAGGATTGTCTCTGATTTGTTTTAAATTGAAAGTAAACAGTTGCTAGCCGAATGGAGTTTGAACACAACATCTGTGTTGATAGAAGTCTGACTGACTACTTGTTCTGACCATTAGGTTCTAGTTCTAAGCAGACTTAAATAGAAGACAACTCAGTTACACCCCCATCCTTCCATATACAAAACACCCTTCTTGCGTCCTTCAAAACTGCGCGTGCGCGCGCGCGCGCGCGCGCGCGCGCACACACACACACACACACACACACACACACACACACACACACAGTATCTCAATTTACATCCCAACACAGATTACAGAAAAGTACCTGCAATTAATTCTTCCATCCCTCTCTGCAACTTTGATTCTGGGTTTTGGTTTTCCGTGCCTCAATTGGAAAATATTAATTGTTGTAAAACCCAAAAACATTTAGGAAAAGGTTACATCTGCAGAGTAAGCATTTTTGAAACAGGTTTGCTGTAGCCTCTGCCAAACTTTGAGGGGCCTTTGTTCCACTCAGACCCTGCTCCAGTCCTCCCTCTTGGTTGTGGAGACACTTATCCTCCTCTTCAGTTAATGAGTTTCACCTAGTCGGGCCGTTTGTGTTTTTATAAAAGATTTGCAAAACACTAATTGCAAAAAGAAGAAAACAGCTCTTGTTTTGCACTGTTCAGAAGGAGGGATACTATGGTAAAAATATTTCTATTTTAAGCTTCAGGAATCAAACCTTTCCCTAATTTCAGGATATACACACATACACTCAGTAAGTCTCTGGGTGTACAACGTTAAGCCCTTTGCAGCAATTATTTCTGGCTTGGTTTTTTTTTTTTTCTGCTTAAAGGCTGAAAGGAAAAAGATATGCCCACACAAAATATACTTTCAGAAAATATTGTATATAAAAGTAGTTTCTTCTTAATGGTGACATATTTTTGAAAGAATGTGCACCTCTTCAGTCTAAGGGATTTTTTGTTCCAGAAATAAACTGTCCATGAAGACTCATTTTCTTTAAATGTTACCTGGAATCCTTGGACTATAAGCTGTTATTGTTTTTGTAGGTGTTGGACTGTAACAACAAACACTGCAAACCATGAGGACTTTTAGAACGTTTTCTAGAAGTAAAATTTCAGAATTATGGTACTATTGTGAGGAAATCAAACTAATATAAACAAACATTTTGAAATCTGGCACATCAGTAATAGTTTTGCTAGCTTAGTTAACATTTCTAAAGTCACTTCTATTAATATACCCCCAAAACTGCAAGTTGAATTTTCTGGGGTGTATTGTACAATTTTCATACAAATTTGTCTGTTCAAATTATTTGTTCTTACACAAAATGTTTTAAAAATTAGATCTCATTTTCTAAAAGTTCTTTTACAGCCCCTTGATAGAGATTCCCCTGCTTCTTTAGTGTTTTTTCTCCCTCTGTGAAAGAAACTGGAGTTAAAAATAATTACTATATAGAGTCTAGAAAACGTGCAAGTTTAACTTCTAAAACACCTTCTTATGAATTCACGTTGCACATTCAGAAAAATGCACCAACAATGAAGTGAACCACAATGTTTCAGCCCCAAGCTGTAATTCTAAAATTTCAAATGTAGAAGAGGTTTGGGGTCTCCAGTAACTGTTTTGATCATTTGCTAATCATGCTTTATCTGTGTTATTTAATTTTCATTAATTTTACAAGCACATTCTTCAGCTTTTAGTATTTTCACTCCAATACCAGTCATTTCTCTTACGAGTAAACTGAGCTGTGTTGTCACATCATGCCAACTAGTATTTTAAAAACACATCAAGCCTTGTATAAACTTAATGAAAAAGAAATGACCACTTGACTTTTAGAAAAAAGTACTTAAGTTTCTTTAAGTTATATTTAAATATCCATTTGAAACATAGGAAATATAAATTGGCATATTAAAGAGTAAATACATTATTTGTACAATAAAACACCAACAAAACCAGTGCAAGTCCTAAGTTCTAAATATGGTGGAAAAATGACAAATATTTGAGTTACTTATTCCTTATATCTTTATCACAATTCAATAAATCACCTTACTCTCTTCTTGACATGCTTTGAATACAGATTAATTGATGTTAATTTTAGCAATTTTACTTGTTTGTTCTAGTACTTTATCAAGGTATTCAAATTCAGACAAGAAAGTACCTCAAAAAAAGTAAATGCCATGTCCACAGAAGGATAGGGTTATTTTTTCAGTTGATTTTGGGAGACCTGATTGCAGCATATACAAATAGCATACAACCTTTCTTTCTTATGGTGAGCTGCATCTTTGGGGGGAAATCCTCTTTTAGGGTAACATACACTCATTTGCCAAATAATCATCAAAACATTTTGAAATCAGCATTAAATTTTAAAAGCTCCATCAATCCATATAATCAGTATTTTGATTATTTTGATTCCATTGCTCTATTACCTAAATGGCAATAATTCCTCTGCAATAATGTTGCGATGTGTATGATCGACCTTGAGCTACAATTCAATTTACTTTCAATCAAACATTAATGAAATTGCACTTAGGGGGCCCTTCGAAAATTAATCTCCCAAGATAAATTCCACTTCAAAAAAGACTCATTGTTAAAGCTGGGTTGATTTTTAGAGTTACAAACGCCAACAAAGTTTGAGAGCTGTGGTTTTTTGAACGCCGCGTAAACTTCTCCAGCTTTCCACGTCATTTAAGAACTTCTAGAAGGAGAAAATCACCACTTCCAAGCCTCGTAGCAAGATGTTACACAACTCGGTTTCGGGGCTGTCGCCCTCCCCCGCCCCCAGCAAAGAGGTTCACAGCCTGCCCCTCTCTGAGACCGGTTCGTTTTCGATCGCCGTTTACACGCGCGAGTCAGTTTCTGCACGCCCCCCCCATCCGTTCTAGCAGTTTCTCGCAGACCCTTCGGCCGCACCAGGACCTAGCCCGAGGGCGCCCGCGCTGTCACCACGTCCTGCCATAGAGCAGGTTGGCGCCCAGGACGCCACCGCCGTACTCCCCGGCGGCCGCGTCCAGGGCCGCCAGGCCGCCCCCCGGGCCGTGCAGCGCGGGCGGGCTGGGCGACAGCTCCTCCAGCTCGGGCGCAGGCGTCGGGGCCGGCGGCTGCGGGCCGGCCTGGCCCGGGGTGGGCGTGCTGGCGCCGTTCTGGCACGGCTTGCCGTCCTTGACCAGCACGGGCACCGCCACGCGGCGCGGCGACGGCGGCGGAGGCGGCGGCGGGCCCAGGCCGCCCTCCTGCTGCAGCTGCTGCGCCGCTTTGTCCTTGGCCTGCCGCTTCATCTTGTAGCGGTGGTTCTGGAACCAGATCTTGACCTGCGTGGGCGTCAGGTGGATCATGCTGGCCAGGTGCTCGCGCTCGGGCGCCGACAGGTACTTCTGCTGCTTGAAGCGCCGCTCCAGCTCGTAGACCTGCGCCTGCGAGAACAGCACGCGGCGCTTCCTTCGCGGAGCGGCCGCCGCCGCCGCCGCGTGCAGCGGCGCCAGCGACTTGGCGGCGTCCGCGATGCCGGTCAGTGACCCCATGCCGGCCACGTTCACGCCCGCCGACGGCCCCATGAACCTGGAGACTGGGAAGAGGCCCAAGGGGAAGGCGGGTGAGCTCCAGGCCCGCTGGGAGCTGTCGGCAGCCGCGACGCCGCCGGGCCCCTGCTGGATCCCAGAACCCCCTGAACGCCGCGACCCCCGGCCCCAGCACGCCCCGCGCGCCCTCGGCGGAGCCCAGAGCACCGCGCTCCTCTTCGGGTCCCAGGACCCCACCCGCGTGCCCAGTCAGGTCCCAGGACCCCCCGCGCGACGAGGGGCCCAGGAAACCCCGCGCGTCCCAGCCGGCGTCCCAGGACGCCCCGCGCGCCCGCCCGGCCCAGGACCGCCCAAGCTGTGCACACCCCGCCTCGCGCCCGCGCGCCCCGCGGCTGTGGCGGGAAACGCCTGTGCCGCCAGCCTGCCCGCAGCCCCGCGCTCCTGGCCCCGCTCACTTGACGAGTAGCGCGGGTCCGGGTTGGCGCCGTACCAGCCGGTGGCCGCGCCGCCCCGCATGCCGTCCGTGTAGGCGGGCAGCTCGCCCATGTTGCCGAGGCCGCCGTTGCAGTAGCCGCCCATGGCGCCGTGCGGGAACTGTGAGACGCCCGGCGGCATGTGGTAGGTGGCGGCCGCCGCCGCCGCCGCCGCTGCCGCCGCCGCGGCCGCCGCGTTGTGCCCCGCCATGGCGTGAGGGGGCTGCATGCCCGCCACGGACGCCGCCTGCGAGGAGGGCCCGGGTGGCGGTGCGCGGTAGGCTGCGGCGGCCGCGGCCCCCAGGGGCGCCCCCAGGCCGGGTGGCGCGCCGTCCATTGCGCCGCCGAACTTCTTGTAGGTCTCCTCGATGGGGCTCAGGATGTCGGACACGGAGAAGGGCGTCGTGTGCTTTGGGCTCAACGACATGGCTCGGCGGGCGGCCAGGTAGGGGGGCCCGGGGCGCGCGCCGGCGGGACGTGGCGGCCGCTCGTCGCCGCCACCTCAGCCGCGGCGGCTGCGCCTGTGACGAGGAGTCGGCGGCTCGGCGAGCCCCCGGGGCTGCGGGATCTGGGGTTTATTTTAGTCCAGCGCCAGGTTTACGACAGACTCGGGGGGCGGAGCAACATCCCAAACGAGCAAACAATGGTCATTGACATCTTTTTCTCTCCCCCCCACCCCCTCCCCATAATGGAGGCAAAAAAGGTAAAAGGGGCAGTTGGGTGTTTCTTGGAAAGATCACTCCCTGTTGCTTTTCCTCTCCTTCGCGCCTCCATCCGGGCCGTTATCGTAGCCCTGGAGCACCAGAAATAGAAATTCGGAGGCTGGCGTCGAGGCTGGATTTGAAGGACTCCGCGCCTGGCCCTGTCCAGACTGCAGCTTTCTAAAGTGACTTTGCAGCAAAGTCTGGTAGAATTGCTAAGTTTGCGGGGAGGGTGTTGTGGGGGCTTGCTTCGTCCTTTCCGGCTACCAGCCCCTCATTCGCTCCATCACCTAAAGTGTTAAAAAAAAAAAAAAAAAAAAAAAAAAAAAAAAAAAGCTCTTGGGTCCCACCGTAAGAGCGCATAAAGAGAGGAGGTACAATGACCGTCCTTTGCCATTGTAGGGCTCCCTAATTTATGCATCTTTAGATCCTTGAGCATCACTTTGTGGGCAACCAAACGGGCACTTCCAAATTAGCTCAAAGTATCCAAGCCCAAAGAAGAGAGAAAACACACATACACTGACAAATACTCAGATGCTAACTTGTAAGTATTCTGTTTTTCCTCTGCGGGGATGGAGATTGAACAAGGCTTTCAGTCTCCTAAAGGGGAACATTTTTATTTCCTAAAATGTTTCATATTCAGTTTGCACTTATAAAGTTGTTTTTACTGTTTTCTTTCCCTTTGTGTGTGTTCTTTCTCTCCCCCTCTCAGTAAATATCTCTGGCTTAAGTTTATTCTCCTATCACTACCATGATCAAAAAGAAGAAAAAGACAAAACATCAAAACTTCCAAGTATTTCTAATTTGTTCGTAATGGGTCTTTTTGTTGTTGCGGGAAAAATATAACCTGTTCAAGCGACATGAAAATGGATGCAGAAATCGGGTGAAAAATTGTAGTTTCTCTGGAAAAATACAAAACCATAAACAGATTGTTAAAATGTTGTCATCCTTTGACTTGCAATTTTACCCAAATAGCAAAGATCTTAGACATTATGAACTCTCTACTAAATACTGAACAAGACAAAGGATAAGACAAAAGAACTGTGCAAAGCATATTGATTAAATTTTGAAAACAATCTTGCAGCAAAAATAATGATAACGGGCAAATGAAGATACAATTTTTTAAGTTTTCCTGGAAACTGGAGCAAGAGAAAGAAAAACACAGAGAGTGCTTTCTTAAGCAATATTTTGTTTTTTTTTCCCCCCAGAAAAAGGTGTGTGAAAATGATTTAAGTTTAACCTGACAGTACATGTCTTGAAGGCAAGAACAGTATTACATATTCCTTTTTCTGTTTGGTTTTAGCCCTTTGATGGAACTGTTCTCTATGGTTTTGTTATTATTTAAATCACTGTTTTGTTCATTTCAGTTTGGTTTTGCAAAGGTTCTGCCCTTTCTAGGGGGGAAAAAGCCATAGGTCACTTATGGGAAGGAAGTGACAGACGAATGTTCAGAGTCATGTTTTAATATAAGAATACAATGCAAGGTTACAAGAATTGTTTGCAGACATCAGTATTGACTTAGGAAGATTAATATTGCTACAGTTTTAACATGATGTTACTTTTACAGGTCTTTTCTGAACCTGAAACATTTGGGCTAGGTCTTCATCCTCACCTGCACTGGAATTACCTACTTAAAAAAAAGTGATTCACAGAGAAGCGTTTATGTATGTATTTAAACAATTGCTGAGATCCTTCTGAAAACCACAGTTTGGATTTTATGTTTTTGGTTTAAATTGTATTGTTTCCTTGTCTGTATTAGCTTAAATAAAAAATAGTAGAAAGTCATTTCAAATGTTTCTCAGACAACAGGGGTAAGTAAAAACTAATTGTTATAACATCTGTGAATGTGAAAGTTATTTGTGGACCATTATATTTTATTTTTCAAGTTCAAACATTTCAAAAATGAAACACATTATCATAATCTCCATATTAATTAGTTGTCCAGATTCAAAGGTGTTTACAATTTTAATTTTTTACAGATGATTATTGGTTACTCTGTTTTCAGGCTATATATTTAATCTCATGTAATTTTCTTTATAGAAATTTGACATAGCAGTTTACATCAAGTGGTTGTGCTACAGTTTTTGCTTATTTTGTTTTTCAACTGCATTGGGTCCTGTTACAAGTGCACGTACATCTAAGAATACTTCTATCTTTAAATTCTTTAAAAAAAGTACTTTATTGTATCTGAAGGTTCTCTGCATAGAGTCACTTTCTGACTGGTTAGGAACTTGATAACCCAAATCGTATTCCTTTACTATAGGTGAACAGTCCTGGGGAAGAAAAATCTACAGTCTTTGGCATTTCTCCCTGTCAATTATTTGTATCTCATTCTAGAAATTGCATATCTTCATGCTGGAAAAACTATTTGGATGTCTGTGGATGATTCTGAAAATAGATGTAGTCTGAAGGATATATATGTACAGTTACATGTAGACACAAAACCCAGTCGATATTCCATTGAAGCTTTGTATTCATTTCATCAGATTATTGCGTACCTAAGTTATGTGTGGAAATTTATACTTAGTAGACTCTTAAATATTATTGACTAAACTGCATTTCACAGGAAATGTATTTCTCAGGAGTGTTTTCTCATTGTTTTTCTTTAAAAAAAATGCTGGCACTCAGCAAAATAATAAAATTAAAAAATAAAATAAAATGCAAATACTACCTAGGGGAATACAGCGAAAAGAGGTGGTTCTCACTTTTGCTGTTCTTCCCCTCAGAGGCATTTGGTGTTACCTGTGTCTTTTAGAATAGCCTGTTCATCTAGAAGCATACTACAGTTTTACACACAAAGGATAGCATGTTCTGTGTGATTTGGTACCTTGCCTTTCATAGTTTAGGTTTTTATAGTTTCACACATTACAACATTGAAAACAGACTAAAATGGGCTATGATAGATACAGAAAATTGTTCTAGACAAAAAGACATTTTTTTTTGACACAAACCATTCTCTTGGCTTTCTGGCAAAAATGTGGTATTTATTGAAAATCTCTGTTGTGTTAGATAGCCTTAGTGCCAAAAATATTTAGCAAAAAAAAATTCTAAAAGACCCTTCTGCAGTTGGGATGTGCTGTTGGCAGACAGAAGCTCAGCGAACAGTGGGTCTACCCCTAGAAGGGACCTGGGAGGAGTCAAGAAACTTACGACATATCCACTTTGAAGTGGGGTTCCAGCCAGTAGTTAAAGGGAAATTTTGTTTTCTAGGTGGTAAATAGGTTTACTGTATTTTCTCACCAAGACTGTTTGAAAATATAATTTTCTGCTTGATAAACAAAAACACAAATGCCTTTTAGAACTGAGACACTTGGTACATTGTAATTAGTTTAAAATAGTTGTGAAATAATTTAACAAAAATTTTATCTCGTGGAAGTAGCTTTAAAATATTGTCTTTGCAGTTGGGAAAGAATAAAGAAACATGAAAGAGACTGGTATTTTGCAGCAAAATTTGAGATTATAAAGAGGTAATAAAACTGCCATATAGAGGTGAAACACAAAGTTTGTTTGAATTATTTTACATTATTTTGCTAATTTCATCAGTTTCTGAAATCTGATTCTCATTTATTGTTAGTCCCTCTATAGGCTGTTTCCCAGTAATGTTCATTTCAATTATTTTATATTTCTTATGATAATTTTACTTTTGTATTTATAAGGCTGTGTTATTTCTCTGTGACACAGTAGTCCTTTCATATTTTCTTCGCAAAATACAAACTGCTTGCAGAGTACTCTTAAAAAAATCTTGTGACTCTTTTCCTGAGATTTAGATATTTTAGATTGAAAATTGTTTTCTGACCAGTGATAATTGGGACCAATGAACACATTTTAAACTAAACACAATTATTAGTACAGTGTGAGAATGAATGGTAGGTGATGAAGACATTTTGTTGTCAAAATTATCATTATAATGTGGTCCAATGAAATGATTCCTCCTCCTATCCCCCTAAAAACAAACAAACAAGAAACCTCCCCTTCTAGGGCCAAGCTGGTAACACTAGTTTTTACAGTCAGAGTAGAGAATAACACTGAGGTATAACAGGGGAGTAAAATGGGGAAATTATCCAATATGCCCAATTCTTTCATCCTAGGATTAGGAGCTTGAGTTACAAATTTAAATTTTTCCATGTTAAAAATTATTTTTTAGAGTAATAATACAAGTATGGGAAAAACCATGGCAATATTGAAATACAATTTTTATTTCTGAATGACAAGTTTACTTGTATATTTTGCTTATATGGAAAGTTTAAAATATTTTAGAACATAGTGGTATTTCCATTGAACAACATTTTTTAGATGTTTCGGAATGTCATTAAATGGCTCTTTTGGGGAAAAAAGAATCCTTTGAATTTTAAGGAAAACTGTATTTCTGTTATTTTGTGTGAGGAGTTAGTTTTTCTAAGTGTTCTACCATGTTTCCAACACTACCTAATTAAATACACAAAGCTTTTAAAAATGCATTGTTTTATAACTTTCTCTCACATACTGTCAAAGGTGAATTTAATGTAAACTCTTTTTCTCCAGCAACTCTCATTAAAGATGTATCATCTTACATTCACAAGTCAATTTGTAATTATCAAGGAAGGTATCAGTTTTTAACATCTGGGCTACGTAATTGGGTTTTTTGTTGCCACCATCACTTACTTGAAGGAGAACTCCAAATTTTGATGTTTGGGCCGGGCGCGGTGGCTCACGCCTGTAATCCCAGCACTTTGGGAGGCCGAGGCGGGTGGATCACGAGGTCAAGAGATCAAGACCATCCTGGTCAACAAGGCGAAACCCCGTCTCTACTAAAACTACAAAAAATTAGCTGGGCATGGTGGCGCGTGCCTGTAATCCCAGCTACTCAGGAGGCT